CTCACTTTAAAAAAAATTAATTATCTGAGTCTTGCAACAAACAATGGATAGATTGATACATATATACCATCAGAACAGTGTACATCACTGTCACAACAGTGTTTATTTTCATTCAAAGGCTTTATGATTTTTCCTATAATGGTGGGCCGGTCTCTAGTCAAAATGCCCGGGACGATTTTTTTTGTCCCAGTCGAGCTCTGTATGCAGCTCATCTGCAGTCTGGTGTTACCTACATCTTCCTATTCAGACGGCAGAATTTCCGAGTTCTGAGTACAATCGAAAGCACCACGACTGCAGTTTTTGTGTTGGATGTAAAAAGCAGGCTAGGATAGAATCAGGTGTGGGATTTCTCTCGTGGAAATGTGCACATTATTTTTTCCTTTCTATTGGTAGGTGGCACAGTGCACTTGTGGCAAGTAAGCAAGCTAGAAGACTGGCAGTCTGGCTGGGTATCCAGTTATGGAAGCAACACATTAACAAGAGAATTCTGAGTAAAACCAAAGTTACTTTCCCTAGTAACTAGTTACTCTGAAAGTAACGAGTAACTTGAAGTAACTGAGTTACTTTTGATAGAAGTAACTAGTAATGTAACTAAGTTACTAATTTAAAGTAACTTACCCAACACTGATCCTGACATCCTCGCTGTGTGTCCAGAGGGGGAACATCGTAAGCTTGTTTGTAAAACTCTTGTTTGTAAAAGTGTAATTGTACAAAATCTTGTGGACTTAAATGTATAAACGGAATAATCAGAAAACTAAACTGCTGTAGTTAAGCTAATAGTGTTCTATTTTTTTAGCCAGACATTTTAAAACTTCCCCTTAAATGTGTCCCTGATCACAATCCTCTATGTCATCGCTCTGTTGTGCTGCTGCAAGTAAGTAAGATTACGTCGGTCAATATCAAAATGTGTTGCATATATAGCCTTAATTTGTGTCAACTGAGCTGTGGCTAAGTACCTGAAGATAACTAACTGAAAACACAAACTGTCAAAACACAGAACGTCATAGTTCTGTATTGCCACAGGATTATTATTTTTTTATCCTCCAGTTATCGCTACAAAAGCCTGCAAAGCCCTGTGGCATAAACATCTACTAAACAGATTTAATAGAAACTCAATTTGACTTTCAGCCTCAGATTTCCCGCTCTTTTTTTTCACAAATTCTAATAATTCCTTTATTAGTAACACATCTTCATTACTAACTGGAACCCCGTTTTAAATCAAGCCTGGAGCCAAAAACCATCTCTTCTAGTTTTTACTATTAATTGACTAATTAGTTGGCAATGATGCATGAAAGTTTGGAGTGGTATCATGACTTTGGGTTGGTTAACATTCATCTCAATCCCAAGCTTCCTTAAATGTGTCAGTGCATTTGTTGACCAGTCTTTCACCCCTCAGACATGTCCCTGATCATGATCCCTTTGTTGTCTTGCTACAAGCAGCTACACAACCCATAGCACTGGTGATTATGTGAGTCTATTTCAGTGTGCCATTTCAGTGTTACTTAGCAGTGATAGCTCAATCATAATCTGCTGCTGCTGTGTCTTTTTTGTGCACGGAGGCTTCAAGAGGCTGGGAGAGATCGCTATCATAATGTGTCATATGTGGTGTGGCGGGTACTTGCATTAAAAATACCCTCCAGCACACCAAGCCTCTATGAATAATAAGAGCTCAACTAAAGCTGTGTTTCCTATTCATGGCGATACCTTATGTGCAAATAAATGTCAGCAAACTTCATGACATGAAGTAGCAATAATGAATCAAACTTGTGTTTCCTGTGCAAGTGTTAACGTTGCGATGATATATCATTTCACATAACACAAAGATATAGAGTCTTTCTCTGTGTCAACAGGAGATAAATTATCTTCAAAATCAGCCGAAACGGAGATGGAAGGTAACAATGTTTGAAACGGTTCTTCTGCCTATTGTCTGTGACCTTCAAATCCTCTGCTGCGGGTCTCTATTGTGTCAACTCTGCATCCATAGGCAGCATCACTGAAAAGTAGTTTCTCTGGGGTCACGGAGGTTATCTGATGGCAACAGTCTGAAGGCTTATGGCCGTATCATGTCTGCAGTGGGGATGCTCCTGAGGTGTTTTTTCTCATTACAGGGGAATGTCGATTACTGGAATGATAGCCTCGTCTGCCGTAATTGACCCGTTGCTTCAAATTGATACCATCTGTCTTCATACAGATGTAATGACCTTGTAATAAATCGACAGTTTATTGCATTAACCCTGACTCTTTGTGACAAGTGACGATTGCCTGCAAAGGGAGGTGTCAAAATGGATCAAGGGGTCGCCACTCGGTGGCAAGAACAAAGTTGGACCAACAACTTTCTCTAAATTAGTTGGCGACAGACCCGAAGCCTTCCTGGATTCTGCTTTGTCATTTCTCCAGTTTTACATAACCATGAATGAAAAATAGTATCATATTCACGGTTGGACCTATTATCTTCTCCAGATTTAGCATCCCCGTTCTGTCTGGAAGTTTCAAACAGAGCTCACAGCTAGAAGCTGACCTTCATTTCTGGCTTTATTCCATCACCTGAGTTTCAACTCGCTAGGAAAGACTGTATATGTTTTAAATTGTATTTTAAAAATGCACATTATTCAGCGTTACTGTAAAGCTACAAGTGCTGGCAGAATGGCTCATTTTCAACTTTTTCCCCCTGGCCAGATTAGAGCGAGCCAATAAAAACAATAAAACATTAAAGAACAACATCTAAAACCATTACAGCAGGAAGCAAATGACCGTCTCTCTGACCCCGTAGGATTGTCCACAGGCTCTCTGCGTATGCAAGGATACATCTAGTACTGCTTACTTTTTTATTACATACACTGAAGGATGCAGAAGCACTCAGGAGAACAGAGTCTTGATTACATTTTCTGATGACACTGCAGCGTTGACTCTTTTGAGTTTTTCTTTTATCAGCTGGGTTCACAGCCTCGCAACAGTCTGAACAGCATTGTTAAAATCTTCTCTAAGATCATCAGAGTGAAACAAAGAGATCTGGGTTCTTTTTGCAACCAACAAATCCCTCAGAAAGCGGCACATATTTTGCCTCTTTGCGAATATTTTCTTTATCAAGGCTGTTTGTTAAAACTAACTGATATTCTGAAGCATCTTCTGTATTTTAACGGCATAATACTGTTTTCTTTTAAGTCTGGTCAGCAAATAAATACTTATGGGATTTTTAAAAAGTTGATTTTATTAGGCTTGAATTCTTGTTTGCATTTATATTTTTTCATATGCTCACTTCTGTTTATTTTTTATGTGCTGCCTCAAACTAATTCAAACCACTAAATTAGTGCCGATGACTATAATTGATGTAAGTTTTCATTTTTATTTTAACTAATTAATATTAAGGTATACTTGTTTACCACATATTGTGATATATAGTTTATGCATTCTTGTTTAAATTCTGAATCTATGCTGTATTTTTCTAAATACAGAAAAGAGCCAGTCTTATAGACTCATAGACTCATATCATTATTCATCTTTAATGATCCCAACAGTGTATAGTAGTGAGGTGGTTAATATTTCATATTGGTTTCATATCCATGTTTGGTTCCTATTGGTGTGTGATTTGGTGTAGCGAGCAACAGGTCGCCATGCAGCTTTGGAGGTGGACTTGATGTTGTTCAGATGTTGATATAAACAGCTTTCATGTAACCGTGTGATGTATAGGTCAAAACAGAAAAATGTGTTCTCTCGATCATGTAAGAGATGTGTGCAAATAGTCTTAATTGACCATTTGTAATTATATTTTATATTTATATTTTTTCTGAGTTTATTTATTATAAACTTTATCATAAAATGAAGTACATTTAACTTTAAATTATGCTATTGTGGTAGACAGTTGAGTAAATTCTGACTAAGTTTTTCAATACCGATACTTATATTTGCTGATTTAAAATTCCAATATTGTGATACTCAAGGATATTTTCTTCTTCCAGATACATGAAACATAAATAACATTTCCCTAACATTTGCTATGCGTATTTAATTTGTGTACTTGTTTGCTATTATTTGTTCACCCAAGTCTAGACACATTCTTGTTCCGACACACCTGAATCAATTGAATGGCTTGTTATCAGGCCTTTGCCAAACTTGATGGCAAACTTGAAGAGGTAATCCAATCATTTGATTCAGCTGTGTTGCAGTAGGAAGGCATCCAAAAGCTGCAGGACAGCAGCTCTCGAAGACTGGAGTTGGATACCCCTGGTTTACAGCCTTTCAAACACGTTTCCATCAGAAAAGTTGTCCAGAGTGCCCTCTGGTGGACAAACTATGCAGTCTCGATACTCATAACAGTTGAAAGGTGTTTCTACTGTTTATTTGACTTTTTTACTTTTTTTTTTCAAATTTTACTATGTTGAATAAAATTCAATATTTCTTGACTATGAGTATAGCATATTGAGGACCTTGTACATATTTAAGACAAGGATTAACTTGTAGTATAGTGGGTAGTATATTGAAGCGGTGGCAGTTTTCCAGTTAACGTCCAATAACTTGAGACACAGTGTGTGTCTCCAGTACAGGTTTTATTGTTGTCAGTAAGAAGAGACCAAGTAGGCAATCCGTGTCTTGTTTGGGAAAAAGTCAGAGAGTGAAAAGACGACCTGCTGTATTTTTCCTTTGGGGCGTTTGGTTTTATTTCCATTCTCTGTTTTGCTTGAACTGAACTCTCTTTTGACACGTCGTCACTCCCAAACAGAAGGTTTGATCAGCATGTGGTTATGATTTCTGTGATCTCAGCCAGACGTGTGTGTCTGAAATGACCACGTAAAAAGATATCCTGCTTTATGACATTATACAGATCCAAGAGTAGAAAGAAAACTGTCTGAAATGAAGCATTTAGAACAGTCTGAAGCTTAAGCTATAGGCTTATTGGGATTACTAGTACATATGCTGGCTTTACTACTTGAAACTTCTGCCATTTAAGCTGTCTGTTACATTTGGATTTGAGTTTAAAATTATTGTTGTGTTTGTGTCCTCAGAGCCAGGATGGGAGGTTTGAAGTTCGTGGGCGTCACGGCAAGTCAGTGCTGACCATCAGCGGCGTGAGGCTCTCCGACTTGGGTCGATTTGACTGCGAGGCGCTCAGCAGGATCGGAGGTCATCAGAAGAGCATGTTCCTGGACATTGAATGTAAGCGCGCCCATTAAACGCCATGCACGCACTTTTTGTTAGAGTGCACATGCAGTCCACAGCAGGCTTCCAAGAACTGGAGATATTCAAACAACAAGTTGCCTAACATTGCCTGTGGGTAAAATGCAGAGGAGTGTTGTTTTTGCAGAGCCCTGGTCACCTGTTACAGCCTCTTACAAGCTTCTCCTTTCTGCCTTTCTATCGGCTCTTTGCGGTCCTTGCTGTGGAAATGGGACACATAAACACATTTAAGCAGAGTTCAAAAGTTCACTCACGCTCAGTTCTAATAATTCTTTTTGTAGTCTGGCTATTTCATCTTTTTTTCCCTCTCTGAAATGCATTATATCATTATAAACAAGTCACCCACCACGCACACTGCCTCCAGAAGGGTTAATTAGTGAGAGGATATCATGCATCGCCTTTCTTTTTTTCTCCTGCTGACAGCTCTGCTACTTCCCAACGCGTGCATCCATTCCTCAGTGCTGGTTGTTTGGGGTTGTTTGGGGCGGGCTCTCCCCTGCTTAATGAGCTCTGAAGCAAAGATCTCCATTTTGGCCTCAGAATGATTAGGTTCATTAGTAGCGAGGCTCAGTGGAGTTTTTTTTTTTTCCTTTTTCTTTGGGTAGCAATTGATTCCACCTTGAAGCTCAGAGGAACAACAAAGAGCTAGGCCAGGCAAACAAATATATCCAAAGAGACAGCGAGGAAAAAATGAAGACCATATCTGCGTTGTCACATGCAAACCAATTTTCTCCTTTTCATACTGAGGTGACTTTTTGAGTTCATGGATTCCCCTCAAAATTTTGTTTTGCACGGTTCCTGAAAAGTTGACATTTTAGGAAAAACTTGTAGCAAAAAAACAATCCCAAATTCATGCACCCACTCTCTAACCGTGAAGCAAAGTTGCTGTCATTACACTGCAAACTTGTTTTGCTGGAGCCACAGCTGACAACTCACGCCTGCGCTCTCACAGCCTGTGTCTCTGCACAGAGACACAGGCTGTGAGTCTGAGTGTGGAGGGGCTGAGCCAGCCGTTGCCACCGAACTAATGAACTCATTTACTAAGTCACTGCAGGCTGCAGGGGGATAACACGTCCTCGGCTGTGACAGAGAGCCAGGCATCAATCTCTTTAATGGAATCCTGCAAGCGAGCATAAAACAACCATAATGCCTCTCCGACTGAGCGGGGCCGACCGGGCCGAAAGAAATCCGCACAACAGCTCGCCGCCGCAGTCGTCCATTACTGCCCTTTCTATTTGCCGGCGCCAATGAGCTTCTGTTTGCATGCTTTATTCCTATTCTTGGGGGGCACGATCGCAATGGAGACCCCCACCCATAGCGTGAGGTAGCTTCAATTAAGTTTTTCTTTTTTTACACTGCCGAAGGAGTTGAGGAAGCAGCAATTAAATGCTTTCCCCCCTGTCTTCTCTTTAAGGTGAAGCCTCAGCAAGTTATTTATTTATTTATTTTTTTACATCTTTGATCATCCAGCACAGCTCCACCTTTGATTTGAGTGTTTAATTGGCTGCCACAAATTCCAGACACACCAGCAATTACTCTTTTAGCAATTCAGGTCTTGTTTTAGTTTTTTTTTAAAAAGCTCCTTTTCCATGTAAACGAGGTGGGTGCAAGAAGTGACGTTACTCTGTTTTGTTTAGATATACCAAAGTTCCTGACCAACCACACCGTTTATTATTCATGGGAGGGAAATCCGGTGAACATCAGCTGCGACGTGATGTCCAACCCACCTGCCACCATGCTGTGGAGGCGAGAGCGCTTCACTATCTCCACAGAGGGAACCGCCAACATGAGGGTGCACAGCGCCGAGGGCAAGTCTGTGCTGGAGGTGAGTTCAAGTCCTCCGGTGGCAGCCAGGTTAGGTTTAGGGTCACGAGACAAAAAATGTGTTTGAAAGTTTAATAATGACTCTGTCAGTGTGGTTTATCAAACAGAGGTGCAAAAGAAATGGAGTTTTTTGTAATGAATTGAATTTTCTTCTTTGAGGGAAAAAAACAATTAAATAAACAATAAAAACAACAGTGAAAGACAGACCTGTAGTTTAATGAGTTTAAAAAGAAAATAAATTCTGATGGCTCTTTATGAAGACTTACTCACACTGATATAGTTTTCAAAAATTTGACAAAATTCAGATTTTGATGTTTCTATTGGCATCCCAGTTTAATGGAAGTAAGCGAAAGCCCAGTGGTGGTCATTGTGAATAGTTTGTCATAAAGGATGCTTTTAACTGAAGAAGTCATGAAAACTAGACACCCATACTCAGTTTTAAATGATGATTTCATTTATTACAGAAAAAGTTGTTATCCAAATCTACATGGACCTGTGTGAAAAAGTAATCACCCCCCAAACCTAATAACTGGTTATCTTGTCAGCAATCAAGCATTCAAGTCTTTCATAAGGCTGTGGAAGATTTTGATCCTCTCGTTTTTGCAGAATCGTCTCAAATCAGCCCCACTGGAAGGTGTTTTTAAGGTCATGCCAAAGCATATCAGTATAATTCTGTTTCAAATCAGTCCTATGAACACCAAAAACACATATTATTCAGTGCATGTTTAGTATATAAAGCACAGTTATATATCGAGCACAGTTGGAGCAAAAGCAGAAAAGTCCAAGTGAAATCTTTAGTTTTAATATGAATTGTGATCGACTGTATTGTTTATCTGCGTCCAGGTGACTCCTATGTCCGACAGAGACTTTGGCCGCTACAACTGCACGGCCAGAAACAACATTGGAGTTCGATACCAGGAGTTCATTTTGGCCCAGGCAGGTGAGTCTGCAGAACTGCCACTAATGCGCTAATGAGGCTAGCAACTCAATTTCAAGACCAGAACATGTGGACGTCTCAGGGACCCTGCACCTTTTCAATAACCGCTCTCCCAGTAACTCCAGCCATTCAACTACTTTGTAACCCTCTACCTCTCTACTAATGGTAATAGCCTTATTTGCAATTCTCAGGAAGATAAATTCCACTACAACTCCCAACCCCTATTCAGCCTCGCCTAATCTCAAATAGTGCTGGCTGATTTACCATACCCCTCGCAATTTAACTGAAGTACTCCCTAATTTACGGTAGCGAGGGCTAATACACAATAGTGCAGTCTAATTATCTTTAGTGCAGATTGAATTGCTCTAGCTAAGGAAGAAAAAAGTAGTGAGCAAAAAGCTGACCAAAAATGTCGTCTTGCAGGAAACAGTAGGTTTTAGAAGAGTTTGTGACTCTTACAATTCAGCACAACACACACTCAGGCACACGCAAGAAAACACACTGTGAACATGTTTGTGTTCTTAACGGATATTTGAGACGTACCTTATGTAGAATACACTGTCTTCAAAGCTTGATCATAAACTGATAGAAGAATCTGAGGGTGGAAGTGTGTTTGTAGTGAGTCAAACTGTTCTGAATTTTGCCTTGATGTTTTAAGTGAGAATCACTAATACAACCAAAACACCTTGAGTCACATCAAAAACATATCCAAGGACAAGTGATGCAGTCAAGTGATGTGGCAACTTACCTGAAAATAAAATAAGTTGCTGTCTATTAAATTGCTAGAGTCTAGAGTCGGCTAGGTTTAATATGGCAGTGATGTCAGGAAGTTTTTAGAGTCAAGGTTTATTTGTGCAGGAAATATATTCAGAGGTCTTACGCAGAAGCATTTATTGCAGTGAGCTTAATATCAAGGAGAACAAAGATGGACACTGCTTATTGCCACCCAGTTCTAGAACAATCTTGGAGGCAACAGCAGGAGAACGGATTTATAGTCCAATAATCCAAATATTTAACCCACAATGAGGTAGTGGTCATGCACAGGGAGACAGGTGGAGCGGCACGCAGGCAAAACACAGTGTCTATATAAACAGATAAAAAAATATGGTACTGGATTTAAAAAAAAAAAAAGCAGAACTCAAGCAATTAAACAAACTAGGAATCAAGGAAGGCTAAGGTGTTGCACACTAAACATGGGTGACACAAAGGAGGGAAAACTAGCAAAGAAATGATGTACAATAGAAATTACTTACAGAAACCTGACATTGTGGCCATTTCTTAATATATCTATCCTCATCCTGCGCAGAATAGATTCTGTTCCTGTCTGTTCCAGCTAAAAGAAAAGACTAACACAGCCCCTGCACTTTTAATCTGCATGAATAGAAATGTTATGTTTTTAATGTCCTATCTTTTCACCTAAAATTAAAGTACACAGCCTCCTCTCAGGCGTTGTATAAGCTGAATTATTACATCTCTCCTAAATAACCCTTGAAAGCTTACCAAATATAGAAAAATAATCTTTTACAATGTCTGTCTTTAGTTTTATTACGGTGGCACTGTGCCATTTATCTTTGATCAAAAATACATTCAGTGTAGTTGGTTATTGCTGTGTAAATGTCAGAGTTAGGTCCATAAATATTAAGACAATTGCCTCTGTACTCTGAGGTCCTCCCATTTGTTTTGTTACATTAGTCAAATTACTCACGCTGGAAGACTTTTTTTATTTTTTATCCTTCTGCAGTATCTGCTGTTTGGCAGTGTGCACCCTCCAACACAAGAATTCCCTCCCCCACTACATTGCAGCACAGGTCAGAGCTGGTATGAATGACATGAATGGCTGATCATTCACACACAGCATGAAAACAATGAGCTTTTGTGGAGGTGGGTTGCAAAGCTGCTTGAAAAGCTAGGAGCAAATTCAGTAGCTTGGGTAGTAGGATGTGTATAAGGGTATCAGCGGTGCCATCAGCTGGTGCTTGCTTCTTATCAGCTGATGGGAGTGGAAATCTGAGTCAGTCAAACAGTCAGTCTTTCTGGCTCTTTGTTCTAGACTGAAATATCCCACCAACAATGGGA